GGTGGCAAACTTAACAAGATCCTCGAGAAAGACGTCCGAGTACTCACAAACCACCTTGCAAACACTATCTGGTCTCATCACACTCACCACTCTCAAAGTGGTAAGTAGAGCACTAAAGCTCACCCGCCCTCGCGGATCATAACCCGATGACAAAATACTACAATCTGGTCCCCCAGAAAATGAAACACTCCCCGCTCAAGGTACATAGTGTGACCTCTGCGGGTAGCATCGATAACTGCCGTATGATGATAACCAGTCAACCCAAATAACATCAAAGCCTTCATGGGCATAACTACAAAAGGAAACGGAAGTCTATGATCGGCGACCTCTATATCAAACAACCTCCTAACACCTTGTTTCAAGATCAATTCACCCCAAGAGGTGACACTAACAAATAGGAGATGCTAACTTGTGCTAACTCCAACTCAAACAGATGCAAATGCAGCAGACACAAGGAATGAGATGCACCTGTATCAATCAAAACACTAGCAACGAATTGCAAAACAAGAAGGTACTCTCACAACCGATGAGCTGTACAAGATCCTGCCGGTAACAGCATACACGCGCCCAGTGGTCTCTAATCACCTGCTCACCCCTAGGAGCATAAGACTGCTGCACAACTGGGACGATGAAGCCCCCTGATTGCGCCTCGAGCTGACCGACTGAGCTGGCTGATGACTCTGAGTCTGCCTCAAACCAGATGCACCAGATGTGCCACTCAACTGCGGCAATACCTCTTCATGTGCCTGGCTGACCACACTGATAACACGAGAGTGGCTGGCCTCTACCCTGACTCTGGCTCTGAGATCGAGCCGAAGAAGATGCTGCTCTCTGTACTCCTCCCCTCTGCGGGCAAACCGGAGACTTGTGGCCCAGCTGACCACACTTGAAACAGGTAATGTCTCCCTGACTGCTTTTTCCCGAACCTGCACTCGGCACTGGAAAAGTTGATCTAGAAAAGCTACTCTGAGACTGTTGAGGAGTGAAACCTCTCTGTCTCCTGCCATCACTCTGGCCATCCTGACTCCTCTTGGAGCCTTTCTGCCCTTCCTCCTCCTGCTGCATCATGATCTCCATATGGGCTGCACATCAACCATATGCCCATAATCCCGAATCATAGTTCCTCCAACTCTCAGCTTGAGGCCACACCTCAAATTCTTCTCAAACTCAATACAACGACGTTCCTCAGACGCCACCAACTTAGGTGCAAACCTGGATAAACTAGTAAATGCAGCCTCAAACTCGGCCACTGAAGAACTCGACTGCTTAAGTTGACAGAACTGGTCTCTCAGCTTTTCCCTGACAACTGGAGATAAAAACCTCTCCTAGAAAGCATTTACAAAAGCCTCCCACGTACCTCCTATACGACCCTTTGTGAACTTCCACTACTGACCCGCATCCCCCTTCAGCTGGAACGATGCCAAGGTCACTTTCAACCCCTCGTCTTCGATGCCAAGCATCTCAAACCTCTTCGTTGTCTATTCGAGCCATTCATCTGCCTTAAGTGGCTCTTTGGGATCACCCACAAATTCGTCCGGGTTAGACCGGAAGAACTCCCTCTTCAGAAAAGAAGGTCCTGCAACCACAACAATAACCTGGGCTTGATTCTCAGCCCTAAGAATGCCAACTGACTCCCTGAATGACCCTGCTATCTCTCGGGCCGAAGTGCCCATAGCCTACTGGCCTACTGGCTCAGCCACATTGGCCTGGCCAACACCCTCCTGCTGCTCCGGAACCTCCTCCGGTATAGGCACCTCCTGCCTACCACGCCTACCACGTCCTCATCCTCGTCCTCGTCCTGGCATCCTAAAAAAAAAAAATAACAAAGACGTTAGCACATTAATAAATGTGCCAAAGTTATAACACTCGCGTCCTAATGGTGGACAACAATAATTCATTCCATGTAAGCACATAATCACATAAGCACCTACAAATTTCATTCATGGATAATGACAGTCCTGAGGCGTCACTATAGTTCCGGTTGGACGCAGCATTGATCAAGTGCCTTTCCAACAAGACTATTAGAAACTCAAGGGTCCAACCAATATCCTAAAAACTACATTCCATACCTAGATAGTCACATAAACATGTTATCATATAAGCACATAACAGTACATCTAAGTCTCTATCAAGCGAGACGAACCCACTGTGATACTAATCACTTCCCACGTACCCAAAGTATTCGAACACGGTACGCTCTGATACCAAGTTGTAACGCCCTCAAAATAAACCCATAATATATAACATTGACATGCATTAATAAAAGAAAACCAACCATTATACCATTCATCAGAGTATTCTTATTGAAATGCATTACATGTAACATCAAAAGTAAATGCCCTACGGGCTTACATCTTTCCAAGCCAACACTTGGACACAAAATGTGAGTATTAACTCAACTACAAATTAAGCCCTTTGCTTGATTGTTTACATGTAATATCAAATAAAATAAATAACAACTAAACTAAACACAGTCTTCAACTCCAACTCCTTCCAAGCTAAGTCCTTGGAGGTAGCATATCACCTGAACCTGAAAATGATGTTCCCGTATAGGGTGAGCTACAGCCCAGTAGGAACATACTAAACCAAATATAAGCATTGAATAAAGCAATAGTATTCAATAGATGGTTAACACAACTATTCACTTTCCCAACATACAGTTTCATGACATTAATGTCGATGACACATTTCATTTTTCATTATTTGTTCAACTTTCCATTTATGTCAATATGGCTCAGAACCTGGCCAAACTATAACAATGAACTAAATATCACATTAACATTTCTTCCAATATCAACAAGACAAATGAGACTAAGGCTCATACCAAAACACTTCCATACTTCCCGATTGATACACATTTTAGTGCTGTATCAACAACATGCAAAAACACTTCCATAAATCAATAAGCACACATATAGTGGTGCTAATGGAGTCCATCCCCTGTCTCCTCCCAAACAAAATCCGATTTAGAGGTTCATCCCCTATCTTCCCCTAAACCGTGGAGTATATCCCCTATCTCCTCCCAAACAAAATGCATATACAATGTATTAAACACTTGGCATATACAACACACAATCAACACACGTATTTTCTGTATTAATTCAACAGTCAAAATCAATGACTTAACCAATGTGATTAGTTTCAGTTTTTCCTAATCCACATGCAATGTCTACAACAATCACGACTATCCTCCACCGATAGCCCAAAACAGTTATTTCTAAACAGGAAATAAATGAATCAACTAATATAATTCCAACATTTTCATAGGTGAGTGATTAAACAAATCAACTACACCATTTAATTAATAAGTTCCTCAATTTCATGAACTCAACTAAATTCCCCAATTTTCCCTAAATTAATTATACAAATTAATTTATTACAACAATTAAAGTTTTTCCCAAAATTACCAAACAACGCCCAACATATCGAAATACCAAAACTTAGGACAAAACCTATAATATGGAGTAGGAAATCCCTACCTCGAAGTAAATAACCCGAATGGAGAAGATGAAGGCCAAAAACCAAAGTGCTCCAAATCGCCAAACTTTCAGATTAAAATGAAGCCCTCAACCCACTCTACATTTCTTACAAAGGACTTAGTATAGATTTACACTAGAGGGAGATGAAAACCTAGAGAGAAGGTGTGTAGGGAGAGAGAGAAGATGGTTCTAGGGTTTTGAAATCAAAAGGGAGATGAAAAAGTGATATTGAAAGGTTGTTATTAAAGCCCATTAATTGGAAAATGAAAAGACAAGTTAAAATTAAATAAACACTAATTGAAATTAAATGAACACTAACTAGCATTAAATGAACACTAGTTAGAAATATGAATGGACAAGTTTGTCATAAAATACCACTAATGGAATATGAATGGATCACTAATTGGAATTGAATGAACCATCATGAAAATTTAATAGACACTAGTTGGAATTAAATGGACATCAACCCTTGGTTTTCAAACACAACCAACCTGTTTCAAACCTGCCCAACATATCCTATAACTCAAAAATAAGAAATTAAAGGACAACAACAACAATTATATAACAACGGGGTCTACGAAACATAAGTCCGAATACAACAACCGAATGGGAAAAGACCGGTGTCGCTATAAAAGCAAGATAGGGGAGGACTTCCCATTTGTCAAGACCGAATGCCAACGCGTTGTAGAATATGAGGTTTTTACATATTCTGTTTTTGTGGTATGTTTTTTGTGTTTTTAAACCAATGTGGTTATGCGTTAGCCTGTATCTATGCTTAGAATTTGTCTATTGTTGTCTGAATTAACTCAATGAAATCTCCTTGTAGTGCCTTAATGCTTTAATCAATTGCTTTGATTTTTAGTGTTTGAAAGAACAATTGTTTATATTAACTAGTTGGGTTATTTTAGAGGTATGTATGTTTACAGTTTGTATGCTTTTTTTAAAAATTTGATCTGATTGGTGAGCTATGGCAGAAATTTTCAATGTTCAAAGATAAAGGGAAAAAGGTGCAATTTGTGCTTGGTCATTGTTGCTAGCTGTCGACATTTCCATTTCTTTGCCACCATCTTAACTCAACAAAACAAGTCAAACATTGAGTTTTATTGGTTGGGCTAGGCTAACTGACTTTTTCCTATATATTTTCTTACTCTTGTTGTGTGTTTTTTGTACATCTATTTACAGGGGTTCTCCTTTCCATATTTGTCCTTGAAAACTCTCTCGTGCATCCATCCTTAGGCATTTTCAGCTTCTTCTTTGTGTTTTTGTTAGTCTTCTTCGACATCTACGTTATAGGAATTGGTCCTTACCATATATACATATATGTGCAGTACTTTGTTTTGTTAAGAAGAGGTCAACTATTGTATACTCCCCCTTCCTCCTCGTTTTCTTTCTTTCTTTCTTTTCTTTTTTCTTTTTTTTTTTTTCTTTTTCTTCTCTTGACCTATAGGGAACCACTCCTTTGACTTGGTAATTGAAGAAGTAAACTAGAATTTTCTATCCCTGTGTTGTTCAAGCAGATATTGAGGTAGTCAATTTCTCTACATGATGATGTCAATTGTCAAGTAAATTCTTGATTCTTAAATAGACTTCAAAGAGGAATTTATGAGTTCCGTCATCCTGTGCTTGGACAAGAAATATATTTTTAAAGGGACATTTTTAATGGCACTGAATTTTGTTAAATATTGTATGCTTATTAGTACCCATGTATCTTATGCATGTATAATAGGTTTATATTGATCCACCAAATTGGTACTAATGACATATAACACAGTTCACTTTATGTTTTTGTTAAAAGTGTACTAATATTCTCTATTGTTCTCGAGGAATTTAGAATTGATGCCATCTTTTGCTTGTGCATTTCATTTGACGGATACCAATGAATTGTTACCCACTTTGGCAATCACAGGAGACTGGTGTCTTTGGGCTGTCTTCATCACTGATTCTAGTTGCCGCTATTACTTCATAATTTGTCATTGTCAGATTTTAAATTTTTTTTTTGAATCTTATTTTGCAGCTATTTGATGGACACAATGGGCCTGCGGCTGCCATATACTCTAAGGAAAATCTCCTAAATAATGTTTTGGCATGTATTCCTTCGAACCTTCACAGAGATGAATGGATTGGAGCACTGCCAAGGGCTTTGGTTGTGGGGTTTGTAAAAACTGATAAAGATTTTCAAGAGAGAGGTATGAGTTGGATCTGTGTTAAGTCTTATTAACATTCCATTGCTGGTCTGGTCATGTCACGGTCAAGAGGCCATCACGTGGCTTAAGTAGAAAGCAAAGGACATTTTATTTAGCTTCCCTCCCAAACTTTTTTTTCCACTATCATTTGAGTTCATCTTTCATATACATCAACATCCATGACAGTGTTTATTTTATTTTATTTTATTTTATTTTATTTTAATTTTTATGTAGCATTTTGTAAATATATGTCTATTTTAGTTAATTGTTTTATTTTCTTACGACATTGGTTTTCTTTGTATTTGTAATTGCTTATTGAAATTCAGTAGGAGCCCTCTTCTCTCTCTCTCTCTCTCAAATGTATATGGTACTTACACATCGATATGATGACATTTCAGCACAAACTTCGGGAACAACCGTCACCTTTATGATTATTGAAGGATGGTTCATAACTGTAGCATCTGTTGGTGATTCTCGTTGTGTACTTGAATCGGCTGATGGTGAAATATATTATCTCTTTGCAGATCATAGGCTTAAATGTAGTGTAGAAGAGTAAGTTATGTATATATTTTTTTGCTTTAGCAACAAGTTAGAGTCATGCTTTACATAGGTTTTACTTCTTAATCTTTCAGCATGAGAGAACGCATAACTGCAAGCGGTGGTGAGGTTGGTCGGCTTAATACTGGTGGTGGTACAGAGGTATAACTTTTAGTTCATTTTAGTTGTACACTTAATATTTTATAGCACACAAACTTGAATGCCCATATTGATGAACTGTATTCAAATTATGGATAAGTAGAACCACAAATCATTAATTACATGGGCATGTCTACATAGTGGACCAAAAATCATGTGATCTGAAAAGCAGAATGTTGTTAAGTAAACATATTTAATGTACAAGTTTAACATGAATTTTGCTCTCCAATTATTTGTACTTATTTTGGAAAGGTGATGTCTTCCCATACAATGATGACCATTAGTGTAGAGATAAAACATGTTTGACTTCAGTTAATGAGAACCATGGTTTTGCTATGTTCCCTGTAATATATCATTATTATTTATATGTACTTATTACTTTATTGTCTATGGACTAAGAAGCATGGACACTTCTGGGGAGGAAGTGTGTGGTGTCCGACACAACGTCTCTTAATTAAAAAATCTAATTCACAATATTGGACACTTTACTAATACTTTGTGGACACTTCAATGACACTTGTTAAACCCTTTGAACACACCCTATGTGATGACTTTGTTCATAATAACAATGTTATGCATTGTTCAGAACACAACTTATGGATTCTAAATATGTTTTGAAACATTTCTTTGAAGCTGCCAATTAATTGAAGGATGATGAACTTTTCTATAGATACTAGAAGGTTGACATTTCTTTGAAGGTGTCATAACTTATTTCCATTGCTTAATTTTCTCAGAAATGCATCTGTTGTTATTGTTGATTGAGATGTTTAATTATCCATGTGGGATTTGATGACTAACAAAAAAAAAATATTGTATTTGATGTTGTTGGGAGTTAGAGCCAGATTTCAGATATAATTTTTATGTTTTTTTGTATTTGATGCTATAGTAGTTAAATTTTTATTTTTGTATTTGATTGAGATGTTTAATTATCCATGTGTGATTTGATGACTAACAAAAAAATGTTGTATTTGATGTTATTGTAGTTAAATTTTTATGTTTTTTTTTGTAATTAACATTAACACATAATTATATTGTCATTAATTATTTTTATTTTTATTTTTCAGATATTGGAGTGTGCTTCTTGTGGAATGCATGCCTGTGGAGAATGTGGCTAACTTTTGTTTTTGTTATCTACGAAGAATGATGAGAAAAATATTTATTTTTGGTTTATGTTATTTTGAATTATGAACAAAATCATGTATTTAAACATTATATATGCATTATGGAACATTACGTAGTGGGATAATTTTGTTGATGTGTAATTATGAATGGAAGAATATTTTATTATGGAGAAATTGTCATTTTTATATCGAAATTTTTATATTATTATGCAATTATTATGGAGAAATTTTAATATTTTTAATAATTTTCTCGCAGGATGTTTTTTTTTTTTTTTTTTTTTTTTGTGACGGCACTACACCGTCGCAAAAAACAAAAAATTTTAATATTTTTATTGATTTTGTTACAGGTTTTACTTTTTGCGACAACACTAAACTGTCGCAAAAAATAGAAATTTTATTATTTTTTAATACTTTTTTGCGACGACAGTACACTGTCGCAAAAATAGAAATTTTCATATTTTTAATAATATTTGCGATGGCACCACACCGTCGCAAAAATAATGTTCTTGCCGTTGAAAAAAAAAAGAAGACTATTAGCGACAACATTTTTTGCCGTCTCAAATAACACTTTTAGCGACGGTAAAATAGTGCCTTCGCAAAAAGTCAAGAAATTTCAAACATTATTAGCGACTGCAAAATGCCATCGCAAAAGGCAAAAATGCTGTCGCAAAACATAGTGCCGTCGCAAAAATTCTTTTGCAACGCCCCCAGTTGTGACCCCCCTCTTGCCGTCGTAAAAAGTCATTTGCCGTCGCAAAAAAGTTTTTTGCTACGACATTAGGAGTATTAGCGGCAAAATGCCGTCGTAAAAAGATGAAATTTTAGTAGTGATGGGGTGGTCTTCTTTTATAAATGAGTGTGATATTTGTCCCATAGGCTTCCTTGTTTGGGATGGGTCCATTGTCAAGCCTTGTTTGAGTTGATATATTTTTTTTCTAGCTATACATATTTGATATCTTTGATACATAACCATTAAGAGCTATATAATTATGTGTACGACTCAGTGTGGTACAATCTGCTAGTGTTATTGAATTATTTCTCAAATTGTGAAATAGAATTGAATAGTTTTTGATGAAGTGTATATATATGTACATGGGTTCTCTATGGGAGGAGGTGGTCAATGATGGTGCAGTAGGAATAGAAGGGGGAATGGTGGGCCTAACAGAAAAAGATGAGAGGTAAAAAAATAAAAAAAGATATTATTGGCATTTTCAATATTATTTTGCTAATGTTACGTTTTTCCATAATGTTACGTTTTTCCATCCAATTCATAAACAGTAGATTAACGGTTAGAAGAGAGTATTACAAAAAATTTTAAAATGGGAGAGTGCGATGTGATGTCAGACAGTAGGAGTGACAAAGTGATTTTAAAATTATTGAGGGGTGTCAGTATAATTTACCGTTAAGAATAATGCTTGGGACCCCCTTTTGGGGGTCACTCCTCACCCCTTTGTCACGTGGCGGGTGGTGATTGGAGGAGCAGAAAAAAAAAGAAAAAGAAAAAGAAAAAGTAACCAATGAAAAAGAGAGGGGGTCAAAGGGAGTAGGAAAAAGGGGATCAATCATTATTGTTACCCTTAAATCTATGCTTATAACTACGTCACGTCATGCCCACTTGCAATGTAAGGCCACGCGTTAAGGTGAAGAATTGCACGCACAACTTCTAAGTATTAAAAAGTGGTTACTCATTATATCATAATAATAAGATAGACAATTTTATTTATTTGTTTTTCTGCTATTTTTATTCTTTATTTTTTTGGAGAAGTTTTTTGTGATGCACACAAGGCATAAGACTTGGTGTACTTGTCTTTTTTATTTTTTGTTAATTTTTTGTTTTTTAGAAAAGTTTTTTGAAAAAAATTGTTGAAAACTTCAATTTAATAATTCTCTAAAGCATTCAGTTCAATGAATTTTTATTTTTTTTTATTTTTATGAGAGGCATATTATTTGTGAAATAATTTGGTAAGAAATCTATTTATTATTTCAAAACACATTTTGTCTCTAATTTTCTCTTAATCTACCTATTTAATTTTTTTTAACTATATGTTTAATTTGTTTAATTATCTGTTCAAATATTTTATCTATTTAATTTTTTTAAGTATCTGTTTATATATATTTTTATCTGTTTAGTATTTTTTATTTTTTATTTTTTTACTATCTGTCAAATTTGTATCTATCCGATGCACACAAGGCATAAAGACTTGGTACTTATCAGCAGGCTAAAGAAAGGATTTCCAGATAGATTTTTGTTTTTTTTTTTGTGTTTTTTTGTGTTTTTTTTTTTTTTTTGAGAAGTTGAATTTTGTGAACATAAGTACTTATCATGTTAAGTCCCCACTTATAAGAACCTAAATAATATTATCCGGAGGTGTTTCACCACGACTAATTTTATTGTCGTGATTGACTTTTTTATTTTTATAAATTTACATTAAAAAAATTCGTACTCTAGTCTAACCTATAAAAAAATAAAAATAAAAAATGAAGAAATGTATATTATCCACTTAAATAGCCGTAACATCAAAATTCGATTTCACCGACCTTACATCCACCGTTGGCAATGTGACAAAATTTTCATTTTTTATAAAAGTCCCTTTAATCCTTTTTGTTGGTTTAATAATGTCAGGTATATTAATCAAAGTATAAATAAATATATTAACAAGATATAATGTGTAGAAATCCTATTTTTTATTGACCATTAATACTTAGGCTCTTGAAATACTTTTCAATAATGAAAGGTATTATAATTTCAACCTTAGAGATGGTTGAAGGTGTTAGAGTTGCGGTTTTGCTATTTTCGTGCCCAAAACAAATTTTTTGGGTCAAAATTAGCGTTTGTTGGTTCGTATTGAGGGCCTGTTTTCACCTTGAAAAAGTTGGAATTTAAAATTTTCTATTTCACATAAAATTGTACTCTTTTGAATTACATTTCCAGCAACGCTTGATTCGCCTCAATCTTTTGACCCCCAAAGCTCCTCTTTGCCTATAAATACACCCCATCTCCTCCCTTTTCAAAGGGTTGAACTTTTTTAGCAAAACTGTGAGTTTGTTTGAGTGAAATTCCTTGCCTCCTCTTGTCTCATAAGCTAGGCTCCGTAAATACACCCTCCCACAGCAACTCTAACAACTAAAAAATCATCTAAAGCTTGAAGAACTTGAACATAACAAGAACCTAAGCCTGAGGGAAGCAATCAAGCAAGTTTTACATATTTTCTTCCCGTTTTCTTCAGTTATTGCAAACCAGCAAGTAAGTTCTCTTTTCTTTCAATTTTCAGTAGTTTTTACTTCATTTTTCATCATGTAATCATGGCTATGATGATAGGTTGCATGCATGTTCATCTACGTTAGATATTTCGAAAAAGTTGGAATTTAAAATTTTCTATTTCACATAAAATTGTACTCCTTTGAATTACATTTCCAGCAACGCTTGATTCGCCTCAATCTTTTGACCCCCAAAGCTCCTCTTTGCCTATAAATACGCCCCATCTCCTCCCTTTTCAAAGGGTTGAACTTGTTTAGCAAAACTGTGAGTTTGTTTGAGTGAAATTCCTTGCCTCCTCTTGTCTCATAACCTAGGCTCCCTAAATACACCCTCCCACAGCAACTCTAACAACTAAAAAATCATCTAAAGCTTGAAGAACTTGAACATAACAAGAACCTAAGCCTGAGGGAAGCAATCAAGCAAGTTTTACATATTTTCTTCCCGTTTTCTTCAGTTATTGCAAACCAGCAATAAGTTCTCTTTTCTTTCAATTTTCAATAGTTTTTACCTTATTTTTCATCATGTAATCATGGCTATGATGATAGGTTGCATGCATGTTCATCTACGTTAGATATTTCGTTAGCTTTTCGCCTTATTTCTCATATTTTGTTTAGTTTATCAAAACAGTATGTTTAGGCTACATAAATCATGCAATATTCATGCAAATAACCCGGTTTAATCATTGTATAATATTCAACATATTTAGCTTTTATGTGTTTGTTGCTTTGTTTGCATTAAATCTTATTAGTTGCCATTAAACTGGGCTTAGGTTTGCATTGCGTGTGTTTAGTTGCATGTTTAGGATTATGTGTATTTTATTT